CGGCCCGCGTACCTTTTTTATCTGGCCCGCGCTACATTTTCAAATTACTTCATATAAAACCTCATCCTCAAGTATCACATTAAATAATAATTATAAATATACGAGCGAGTATAAATAAATAAAGATAAAAAATAAATGTTAGAGAATTTGAAGGACCTTTATTTATTTTTTTGCTTTTTCATATGCACTGYGGCCCGCTAGATTTTAAAGTACTTAAAAGTGACCCGCTACTCGCTAGTTACTTTGAGTTGCCCATCCCTGGTATATACGATTGTTATACCCTACGTAGTAATGTGCTGCAATCCACTGTAGTATATAAGATATGTGACTTATCTAAGATAACAATGGGTGACAAAAAATGGAATTACAACACAAAAATAGCTAGCTCCAAGCAAAAAGCATATTTTATTATGATTTTTAAAGAATATTGGAAGAATATTTTCAACTTTTTAAGAGAATATTAACATCTTATTTTGGCTATTTTTAAAGAATATAATTCCGGGCTCTAATAATAATAAATATTATTTATTATAATATAATAATGTATATTATAATAAATATAAATAAATAAATACTAAACTTACTAATTTTTTTTGCCTTATAAATACAATAGAATTTGAATATATATAATTATTAGTAACAATACATTAATAATTATAAAATATTGCACAGAAAATAATTGTTTGTGGTTCAAATTGTCTACGAGAAGGACAAAATTGTCAGGGCAGTGTGTGCAACTGTATAATATATTAATGTTCGATGTTCGACATAACTTAACAGTAATGCTTTAAAGCATTTTGATTTATTATTTTGTAAGTTTGTAATTAACGTAACGTATAGTAGGATTATAATTATTTTTGATTTTTATACGGTTTATTTGTTAAATAAATCCTTATTGCATTTTAAAAACATTGTTTTCAAAATATACGTCAGTCATATTGGTTCGCATGATATTTCAAATACTCGGAATAAAACCAACACGGTCGAAAAAAACCAAAAGTCTTCGATACAAATGAGCATTCAACACAAAAAAAGCACCTATTTAAAACATTATCAAAAATACTCTACGGTGAAAGTATATAAAAATGTATTCAATGCTTAAAAAATATTCTAACAGTTTTACTCAAACATTTCAGAACATTGTCCGTAACATAATATTAAATTGTCACAATCAAAAGTTTATCAAATTTTAGGCCTGTGAGAGGTGGTCTGTTATTGGCCACGTGAAAAAAAAACCTATCAACAATGATATACAGGGTACCCGTTACAAATCACCAGTGGCGTATTTTCAAATTTTTCTGGGGGGGGGGTCCTTAGTTTATACATAATTAATATTAACTATGATATCATGTAATAGTTACGTCCTTATGCAGTTTTTGTA